CACACCCATGAATCCTAGCAGGTTCATACAAAGATTCTTCGTCAAGTGCATCACATCGATTGCATTGCGGACCTCTAGGACTTGCCAATATGGTAGCTCCCAAAAATATGGACTTCTTCTACAATGGTGCGTGTCCGTTAGCATCATTCGGAACAGGTTGGCTGCCAAGTCCCTTTCCAAAGACTACTTGTACATCCATGACCATATTGAATACATCCTCACCACTATGGTTCGTAGGCTTCGTCCGATGATCTGCCTTACCTTTACCCTTTCCTTCTTAGGGGGCACTTCATAGGAAGAAATCAACGATGTCCAATGTACACAACCTTTCAACATTTTTTCAAATATATACTTTTGGTATCATCTAAACAGTGTATGCAGACCTTATATCCCTTGTTTGTCTGTCTTAAAAGATTACTAAGAGCGGGCCAATCATTCATTATTACAAACAACAATGCTCATATGTCAAATTCTTCCTATTTGTGCTCATCTGACACACGTATGCATGTTTTGTTCCACAAAAGTAGAAGTTCTTCAACCAATGGCCTTAGGTACACATCAATGTCTTTGTCAGATTGCTTTGGGCCTTGGATGAGCACAGACATCATAATGAACTTCCGCTTCATCCACAGCCAAGGAGAAAGGCTGTAGAAACATAGAGTCACAAGCCAAGTGCTATGACTGCTGCTCTACTATCTGAAAGGATTCATGCCATCCGTACTTACACCAAACCTTAAGTTTCTTGCATCAATTGTAAACTCTAGGAATTTTGTGTCGATTGTTCTCCATGCTAGGACCCATCAAGTGGGGTGTCTCAACATAGCGTCTACCTTACGGTCTTCTTTGTGCCATCGCAGCAACTTTACATGCTCTTTGTTTCTGAACAAATGTTTCAAGCGTGGTATTATAGGAGCATACCACATCACCTTGGCAGGGATTCTCTTCCTGCGACGTTCGCCCTTAACATCACTAGGGTCATCTCGCATGATCTTATACCGTGATGCACTGGAGACCAGGCATGCATCCAAATTCTCATAGTCCTCACTGCAGTAGAGGATGTAGTCATTAGAACATGCATGTATCTTCTGCACCTCTAATCCCAGAGGGTAGGGAACCTATTTTTCTTTGTATGTAGTGGCAGGAAATTCATCATCCTTCGTATCTTGTTTATGATTTTCAGTAACTCCCCAAATCCCTTGTCGGATACACCATTCTTTGTCTTCCATTGTAGCAATTCCAGTGTGGTACCTAGCTTTTTCTGCCCCTCTTCGCAATTTGGGTATAGCAATTTCTTGTGATCCTCTAACATGCACTCAAACATAATTCTCTCATTTTCACTTTCGCAGTCTCTGTGCATCGCAAATGGCCTGACCAAGATCGTCAGCGGGCTCATCTTCTATCGCTACCTCTTCTTCAGCTTCCCCCATTGCAGTATCATCAAAGGCATCGTATTCAGTGAACTCAGGAATGTTGTCATCATCATCTTCTTCTTCATTGTCTTCCATTATAACCCCACTTTCTCCGTCCTTGGTCCAACAAATATAGTCGGGCATAAAACCCGACCTAAGCAAGTGTTCGTGAAGGGTCCTTGAGGAAGCATAATCCCTCACATTCTTACAGAGAACATAGGGGCAGCACATGAAACCATTCCGCTTATTTGCCTTGGCTACACGTAGGAAATCATGCACGCCCTCAATGAACTCTTGGGAGCGGCGGTCAGCGTTGTACATCCATTGCCGGTTCATCTGCATTACATGAGCATATCAAAAAATTGAACATGCCAATATCCATATAGTACACAACATGCATGATTAATTAATTAAAAGGTCCAAAATATTCATTACTCAACATGATTAATTAATATCTTACCATAGTTGTTTCACTTTAACGTTGATTTATTAAAGCCTTGATACAATGCAGACAATCCCAAATAGCACTAAACAAACTAAACCTATAATGCACTTCAACAGAACAAGGATTTGGTGACCAATTCCAACTAAAATAGACAAATTGTTTGTCAGTTCTTCATCGATGGGCTTCTTCTGCTGGTTCACTACCTCTTCATGCACAGGTGCACTCTCATCAACCGCCTCAGACGATTCTTGCATGTGCTTAACATACTCTTTCTCCTAGTACCAACTTGCACATCCAGTGCCATCCCACTAAAATTAGAATATAAATCAACAACTTTAATCAAAATCATCACGAAAATGGCTAAAAACATAAAAAAAGCGTGACCAAAAGAACTCACATTTTGATCCGGACACGTCTAGAAGATGCCGCCTTGGTTGGGACCCTCCTTCACCCTGTACTCCAACACGCTCTTCTGCTTACACTTGTCGCACGCAATGAGAGGGAGGTCCGGCCTTAGTTGCTTACAAACCCGATGCGTGGACAAGGACCCGAAAGCAGTTGCCATCTACTCTATACTCATTTTAATCAACTGCTATAAATTTCTCCCACTTCTAAACCATGAAATGAGCTATATAATAGCAATGAAAGGTGGATACTCATTTTGATCAACTACTATAAGCTTTCTTCTTCTACATATGCAAACTATCAAGTGAGTTTGAACTCAAATGGAGTATAAATAAAAAATCCACCATTAATCCTAATTAAAAAAACTCAAATTTCTCTATTTCTAAACCATGAAATGAGCTATATATACTAGCAATGAAAGGCGGATACTAGTTTTGATGAACTACTATAAGCTCCTTCATCTACATATGCAAACTATCAAGTGAGATTGAGCTCAAATGGCGTATAAATCAAAAAATCCACCTTTATTCCCAATCTAAAAAATAAAAAATTTCTCTATTTCTAAACCATGAAATGAGCCATACTAGCAATGAAACATGAGAGAATGAAGTTGCTAACCTTTAGAACCCTAGAATGATTGGAGGAATCGAATGAAGTCTTTCACCAAGCATGAACTCCTTCTCCACGAGCAAGAACAGAGCCGGAGAGCAAGAACAGAGAGCTTGAAATGGCTCGGGCTTGGGGAGGAAGAAAGCTATATTTATAGTGTGGCCCTTTACTCCCGGTGGGTAGCTACCACTGGGACCTTTAGTCCCGGTTGGTGGCTCCAACCGGGACTAAAGTCTCCTCCTGCAAAAGTCTACGGCGCTAGCCGTTGGGCCAAGGACTTTAGTCCTGATTGGTGGCTCCAACCGGGACTAATGCTCCCTTTAGTCCCGGACCCAACTCTGGCCGAGACTAATAGTAAAACCGAAGGTCTATTCGTGAATATTGTTCTCCAACTAGAATAGTAATAACATTTTTTAAAGATTTGTTTAATATAATGCAGACCAGCAGCTGAAAAACTAAACTTCATTCGCTTTTCTATCTCTGTCTATATCTATATGATCTATATCCATATCTCTGTGTCTCGTGTGTTAATGACATAGCGGTTCCGTTAGACCGAACGGGTAGCCTAGTCTCACATGCGAGACACGATTCACTTTCCTTGATCTAGGCTACATGCTAACGGGTAGCGTAGTCTCACATGCAAGACACAATTCAGGGGGTGTTGGTAGGGCTCCTCCTAAGGGGTTGCTCTATTTTTACAGAAAAATGGCTCTTTTTACAAAATATTTGGTAGGGCTCCTTCGAAGAAGCCAAAGCCGGAGAGGGGCTCTACCAAACACGTCCTCAGTTTCCTTGTCTAGGCTACATGCAAGCGTACTAGAGCGGAGGACGAGTGGATGGTGATGCATCACAGGATTCACTGTCCTTGATGTAGGCTACATGCAGACATAATACAAATCAGGACGGTGGTGTAGAGGATGAGTGCACGACATGCATATCTAATCTTGTATTGAGACCAGTTACGATTGAAGTATTCTTATTCACCATGTGTATTTTTAGTTATAACTCCATTTTTGAATGGAAACAACGTAGATCAGTTGGTTGGGTTCTTTGTGGTAGAACATGTCTACCCGAGTTTAAGTCCTCGACTTGGTACGGGTGCTTGCATTTTCCTGGATTTATTTCAGAATTTATCGGCGCTATGCTTTCAGTGGTAGGCGGCGTCCCCGTCGACAGCGAGGCACTTGTGTTAACTTCGTGAATCTTGAGATCTGCCGGCTCAGTTCTTCGAAGATGCTCGTAGAGGTAGGGTTTGCATATCTCGTAGGGGTAGGGTTTGCGTATCTGCCGGCTCAGTCATTCGGAAGTGCTCATAGAGGTAGTGTTTGCGTACGTGTGTTCATAGAGATGAGTGTGCGTGCGTGTGTGGGCGTTCCTCTGTCTCCCCCCTAAATACAAGTCATGTAAGAATTAGAACTTTGTTATCTTTTGATCAATAATTAGTTTACTTACATAAAATTAAAAATTTTACATCACAAAAAAGGTTACAACAAATCTGTATTTGAAAATAGTTTTTAGTGATCAAGCTTTTGTTATTATAAATTATATTATAAAGAAATTAGCAGTTAAGAATGTGATCTTATGGATTGTACCAAGTCAAATTGCGTCTTGCATTTGGGACGGAGGTAATAGTGAGATAGCAAGATGGGAAGTTTGGGGAGGGACCGAGGGCAAGCTCCCACGGCCATTGGCTGCCTCCTGCCTTTGCCATCTCCGCGCTTACGGATATCCATAGCAAAAGGGATCCGTTCATTCGAGATATGAGTTGCTCTTTATAAGCTCGGCTCAAAGTAAGCTAACGCATATGCTTCTGAAACAACAATAATCTGAATATCCAATCTCGACCATCTGATGACAAATAAAAATATTCTATCAATAGTTTGCATGATGCAGCAGCAGATTTTCCACTGCTTTAAGATAACCGAGAAACCTTTCAAAAAAATGTTGATCGAGAAAAAGAAAGCATTTCAAGAAAGTTCTCTACACGGCTAACTGGTATAAGAAAGGTAGGTTCACTGGTTGACAAAATATTCCCGACTTGATGCTGCAGCCACATTGTGGACCTTGATGCCTCGAATCCTAAGCTAGGTAACTGAATGCTCAGGAGAATGTAGTGTCGTTCTCCACACAAACTAACGGTTATCCATTTGCACGAGTATGCTCCCTTCTATTCCGACGATTTTGACCGATGTGTTTGAGTGACCCTTGAGGAACAAATCCGTGACCTGCAATGAAATGGTCTGCAGTAAGTACGGTTTTCAAAGCCCCCAAACAACAGATGCTCTTTACTCAGATGATACTACCAATCAACAGGTGTTCCTAATGTATGTTTACTGTTGATAGAAAAAAACATGATTGGAACTGCTGACAGAAAGAACATGTTACAGGAAGTATATTTATTTATGTTTACTGTTGAGGCAGTATTGCTCTGTTTGCTAGGAAGGTCATCATACCTGGGTACAACCAAATAGCTTAAGAATCCTCAATGTTGGGCAGCTGTCGACAATCAGCCCCAAAGCTTCGTCTGTCAGTTCACGGCAGAAGGAAAGATCCAGGGCCTCCAATAGAACAGAACACTTGCGAGAAATTGCAAGGGCAGTAAGGTCTCCAACCTAAATGAAATACATAAGATGAGAACTAATTATTTGCGAAGGATTATTCATAAGTGAAACAGATGAAAGACATCACAAAAAAATGGTCAAGGAAATAGCACATGTTAACCAACTTAATAAAATTTCCCAGTCGGATTGAGAAGAAACAAGCAAAAAATTAGTAAATAATAGTTTAAGTCGTTATACACTTCAACCAACAAAAGATTATGGCCTGTTTGGATCTACTAAACTTAGCATTGCTAACTATTAGCACCTAGTAGCAACCTTCAACTTGCCACAAAATATACTAATGGTTACAACACATATTAGTAGGTCGGGTGTTTGGAGACACACTTGCTATTTTTTTAGTTGCTAGCCATTAGCACCTTTTGGATCCAAACAGGGCCTAGACAGAACTTTTGTGCAACAAAGATATTTTAGCCAAGTGATCAAAATAACAGGTCCCTGATTTGAATATAAAATTTTCATAATCATGTTAAAACCAATTTCAGATAACTGAAGATACATCAGATTGGTTCTTAGTTCCCACTGCCACCACATAAATAGTGATGCAAGTTTGATGCAGCCTGAACAAACTCAAACATGCCCATGCCCATGCCCAAATGTAGATTTGCAGTTTGTTCATACTCTCCATTGCGCCCAACCAATCATGTCTCTCAAAAATCATGTTATATGCTTACACCAAACCAGAAATGTTCAAATATGCACTCATTAAGTTCCAGCTTGAATAAATAGACTGAGTGCATAAATGAAATGTACCTCTCCCCACTCAATATTCAAGTACAGTGTGATCCCTGTTACGGTTCTCTAACTCCCCGCACATTATAATGCTCCTGACTAGCCAACAGACATTTGTTGCATGTAACGCCGTCCTAAGGTTTACTTACCCCTTTTTTATCAGCAACAGGTCTTCATATAGTAATTTGCATCTATGTTCACACATCATGTTGTGTCTGTTCCACATTATTAGTGCAACCTAAGTTCAAACTAAACCGCCTCAAAATTAATCCATAAATAGCTTTTTTCTCTATGTGGTATTGAACCTTTTGCAAGGTCTCTTGCTCAAAAGAAGGAAATAGACTAAAGGGTCCACATAAGTATGCACTCAGCTGCAAAGAGCTCCCGCCTGCAAGGGTCTGGGAAAGGTGTCGAGAGCAAGCCTTACCCTAGCCTATGCAATGCGAGGAGACCGCGACTCGAACCCAGGACCTTCCGGTCACAGGCGGTAAGACTCTACCGCTTGCACCAGGCCCGCCACTAAAGGGTCCACATCTAAACAAAAATATAAGGTCGGTCCCAAGGATAAGATTTATATCATTCAGGGATTGCCACATATTCAAGAAGGGAAAGAATGGACAAATTACCTTCTTAACATTGTTTAGCATTAACTCAGTCAGGCATCCTCCAGATTCTTCCAAATATCGAGACACAGCTTCATCACTGTAATAATGGATCAAGTTAACTAATTATAACATCGGGAAGAATTTGCAGCGATCTCATTACACGACAGAGCATATTCTGATCAAGAAAAAATAACAGTACCATCAAATGAATTAATGGGTGATACTTTTTGATAAAATGGAAGACACAAACTGTTAAAACTTGCTGATGTCAACTTCCAGGACACCTTCAGGAGCTTGGAAACCAACCAAGAGTCACTAAATTACAGTAGTGGTTTGCCTTTCCTTTTCCTTTGTAATCTATCAGGTCTAAGTAATTCATCAACTTTAAAACAGCAGTAGTTTAGTTATACAGATGGCAGAACTGGTGCTACAAGTGATTAAGTGGGTCATGACATATTACTCTCAGACCCTCATTACGATCAGTCAGAAAAAAAAAATATCAGCACTTCTACAATGCACAAACATAAAGAAAGGGCAAATGAGTTAGCATAGATAAAATGGTTAGAATGCTAGAAAGAAGCTAAATAAGACATGCATAATAATCATTATGCATCTGAGTTTGGAAAACAATAATATGCAAAAAGAATTTGACGTAAAAGGACATGAATGTTTGCACAGCGCTTAATTCTGCTTAGTAATGAGGCACTTCAAACTTGGATCAACCAAAATAACAGGGGAAGTGGGGCGATACCTGAATGCATTTCTTTGAAGCTTTAGTTTCCTTATTAGCCTACAGCCACGAAGATGCCTCATTGCTGAGTCACGCAGCCTATCCAAGTTGCGGAGGTCCAACGAAGTTAATTCTTGACAGTATTCCCCAATAGTCTTGATGGAAGATGAAGTAAGTTCCCTACATTTAGATAGCAAGTCAGATATGCAGCTCCATGTTGCTTCTCTATACTTGCATAATAGTAATATAACTATGGTACTGATACTTCCAAAAGAAAACTATTGCCTAAAGTAGGAATTTGTAAATACTTACAAGCAACCAGCAAATGCTAACTCTTTCAGATTTGAACCATGAACAGCAATGAGCTCTTTCACAAACTTGTCACACACGGACTGTATTCCGGACATTGATAAAACCTCTAGATGATTAATCTTCTGTAGAGCAGGAAGAATCGCCAAAGCATCCACGTTTGTGCATTCATCTATATACAGTTCTCTAAGAACTGAATGTAACTTGTTTGCAAGAACATCGATTCCAGATGAAGTGAGAAGAGAACACTCGCACAGATTTAGGGAGGATAAAGAAGGTGCAGCAGAGATGATTGTGCCTAAACCATTATCAGAAAGCCGATAATTTCCCTTCAGAGATATTTTTCTCAACAATGGCATGCAGTTAGGAACCTTAGCTAAGGTAGATGGCAATATGTAATCAGGCATGCATCTCCCAGATATATCAAGCTGTAGATCCTACATTAAGACAAACACTGAATGAGTTCTCACAAGTTAATTTACCCAGAAGAAATAAGGTCGTATTGAAAGGAATAAATAATGTGTACATAGCACAGAAACTGCAGAGTAAACAAATAGTACCTGCAAGCTTTCAGTGCTGCATTTCTCAAAAGTTTTCTCAAAGTCATCCTCACTCAGCCATGAACACTCACTGAGATGCAGTTCTGTAGGACTGTCACACAGTAGTTCATGGAGAAGATGAGTCTTCATCTTCCTGGAATGACACAGAATCTTTAACAGCTTATTCTTTAGCTCCTCTGGGATACCTCCAAGTGATTCAATACATTCAGAATGTTCCGCAAGGGTGTTTAAGCATAAGCTTGTAAGTGACGGGGCTTGAGCTCGTGCTGGATTTTTCCTATCCTTTGAAGGAGACCAAACAATGACCCTATTTGCAGATTTGCCCACCTTTGAAGAATTCAACTCTCGAGCTCTCAACTTAGCTTCTCTTTCTTCATATATCCTTGCAGCAGTTGCAAATGGGCCTGGCCAGTCCTGAGCGTCAGGATCAGCCTGTAGCTCTTCTTCTTCATCATCTTCACTATGCTCATCTTTATCTGCTTTGAAGAATGCAAATTTAGGGGCCAGCCTGATAGCCCTCTCTTTTGCTGTTTGTCTGCGATGTGACTCCATAGAAGCAGAAACTGATCCTAAGTTGTGCTGAATCTCTTTGGAATCCACTGCATCGAAATCTGGCTTGTCCTCAATTGAGCTCAGAGATGATAGACTATCTTCTACAACCATCTTTCCCTTTCCTTTGCGATCAGGATTGAATTTGCTGGAACTGGTACCGACTGCAGAGCCCACATTAGCATCAGCACGAGAATTGTTATTCCCCAAGACAAGCTTCTCTTTCACTTTGACTTCCTTTCTAGAACTGTATTGGCTCGAATCTTCATTGAAATACATAACTGCAGAGACTTTTGCTTCAAAACTTGAAGGACTTCCTGAAGGATATACTAACTGCTCAACCACCCCACCATTTGCTGTCCGTAACAGATTATGTGTCTGCAGAGACTCCCCATTGCTTGCATTGGCAGGATCATCCACATCCCCCTTTTCAGTCCTATCCATGTTCATAGCAACAGGACTGGGTTTGATCCAACTTGAACCCAGAATCTTGCAATCATCGTCAGAATCGCTATCTGTATCAGACACATACTCTGTCTGCACTCCACCAACCAATATGGTCTTGCACCGCTTCGTCGGCGTCCCCACGTCCCGGTGCAGCATTTCGTCATGCACCTGGCCTCGACGAGACGACCCAACCCCCACCTCCCCACCCGCCTGAGCGCCCGCCTCCATCCGCCGCTTCCCGATCCGAGACAGTGACCGCAGGATCGTGAACGGATCCGAACCGCCAGAACCGTGGCCGCTCGCCAAAGCCCTATCCGCCCCCGACCCGCCGCCGTCGCTACTGGAGTTCCCGGTCCTCGGCGAGACGGTAGTACCAAGCGAAGAGGCGGAGACTCGAGCACGGGCCCTCCCCACCCTCTTCTCGCCCCCGCCAGACCCGGACCCGGAGGAACTGCCGTCTCGCGCGGAGGGAGTGTTTGGACTACCCGCGGCGGCGCCGGCGAGGCGCAGGCTGCGTCGGAGAGGCGTGGCGGCGTGGGGGCTGAGGTTGGGGGATCCGGCGCCGACGTCGTCGTCCTCGGGGGAGGCGGGGCCGAGGCCGAGGCGGAGGGCGGCGCCCGCGAGGCGCAGGCTGTGTCGGGGAGGCGCGGCGACGGGTTTCTTGAGGTCGAGGGATCCGGCGCTGTCGTCGTCGGGGGATGCGGGGCCGATGCCGAGGCGGAGGGAGGTGGATGGGGACGGCACGGGGGTGCGCTGCGGGGAACCCGCCGCCGCCTCCGGCGGCGACGGCGGGGATGCCGTCTTGGCGCGTGAACGGGTGCGGGGCATCGCGGAAAGCGTGACGGCGCAAACGCACGAGGAACTGAGGGAGGGAAGCGTGACGGCGCGAGGGGTTTGGGTTTGGAGGGGTGCGCGACTGCGCGGGCGGGGAGTTGGGGGAAGTTTTTGGAGGGGCGCGGAAGGGGAGGAAGAGGAAGCTTGCAGGGGAAGGAGGCCGGAGGCGGCGCGGGGGTTGGCGGGCCGGGCGGTTTGCTCCTCGTTTTTTAATGGTTTTCCCGCGCAAATGGGAAGGGCAGGGGCCGCGGGGGCGTCGGGGCGGTCGCCTCGGGTGCGGCGCCGTACGGTCGTCGTGTCTCCGGGCCTCCGGTCGTGGCCCGAGGTGGGCGTGCGGGGCGCGGGGAAGCCCGTGCTGGCGGTTGGAGTCTGTTGCGCGGTGGCCGGTGGGGAAGAACCGGACCGGAGGACCAAGAAATGGTTTGCTAGGTGGACGTGGACTTTTTCAGCGGCCGCGGACACCGCCGGCGATGATGGTTACAGCCTTACAGGCAGCGTGTGCCCTGCGTGCTGTTGCGCACTTGGTTCTCCTTTGATCTCTTTCGTTATAGGAGATGCGTTAGCGGAATCGTGTGACCTTTTCTCCGCTACCTGATGTAGCCAGATTAGTGGGAGACGCGTCATCAGAGAACAAAAGTTGCCCAAAGCGTGTCCGGTGGCTGAAACTTCGCTGAAATTTGGCTTACGCTGATTTGTTGTGAGAGAAAAATATTATTCGTTCATTAAAAAATAATGTTAAAGTAGTTAAGCGAACAGGGCCGACCGCTTCAGAGGCACTTGTAGTCAAATCTAGTAGCTACACTAATCAGTAATCACCACCATCCACATTCTACAGCGACGCAGCTTGGACACGGTATCCATCTCATAGAAAAATGTCAGATCATATGGATACTATGTATAGAAATCATATTCTAATAGTATTATTTTAAAAAATATATCTAAAAGTGTATCTATTCTCTTCTATTATCTATCTGTCACGTGTCTTCATATCTTAGTTTTTGTGTATACATATTTTCTAGCATAGATTAATTTTATTATCTTAGGAGGTGTTTGGGACTGCTCTGCTCCACGTTTTTCAGCTCCGCTCCACGTTTTTTAGTCAAACGGTTTCAGCTCCACGCACTCTATTCGAAGAAAAATGGTGGAGTTATGAGAGCATCTAAAGATGTGCTCCACAAACTCCAATTTTTTGTGGAGCAGAGTTTATGGAGCAGTCCCAAACACCCCCTTACTCCCGCTTTTCCTGAATGGATAGATTTCTAACAAGTTTACGACATATTAGTTTAACAGAGAAAATACCATACTACCCTTCATTAATTGGAGTACTTGCACATCTTTAGGTGATAATTCCAGTTGCATGATAATTATAGCGTTTACTACATACATCCAACTGCAGAAACTCATGCCTAGATTAGAGAATTTGGGGGACGATAATAAATATGAGAGAACTCCGAGGAAAATAAATAGGTTGATGGACCATTTAGCCTCAGAGAATGACAGGTTAGATATTTTTCCACCAAATGTTTCTAAACAAAAAAATAGAATGACCAAACCTTCTAAACTATAGTTGTTTGGAGGTATGCAATGCAACAACAGAGCATCTGGCATCAGAAATTTATGTGAAACGATATATAGTCATTTGAATATATGTGCAAGTCGTGAAAAACATATTGAATGCTTTTACATCATTGTAGACAACCCAGACTCTTTAAAACATACAATTCAACAGACTGTACATCCAAACAGGAATTATAATTGGTTGTTTTTCTGCGATTCCAGCTATCAACTAATTGCACATCCAAACAATGGCATTGGTATTCCAGGCTATTTCCAATGCCCGTCAGCTTCGGTATTCCAGGCCAATTCAATTCCTCAGCCTGAATTTCTACATCCAAACATAGCCTTATAGTCACAGCAAACTTCAGAAAAGAGTGCACAAAATTACTATGACGAACACTCTAAACAGGTAACAGATAGTCTCAAATGCTGAACAATGATCTATAAATGATAGTCTCAAATGTTGAACATTGATCTATAAATCCTTGCATATATAGTTCATATGCTCAGAGAAGCAAAAGAATGGCGTGCCACTGCAAACAGAAGATGGTGTTCAGCTCCTTCTCACAAAGCAAAATAATGGCCGAAAACATCACACCTACTTACAAGCTCACAAAGCAAAGGCACAAGCTACAGCAAAAAGAAGGGCCGCCACCAGCCACGATGCACCAGCATTGATCGAAATGGCGCCATTCGTCGGGCCCATGCAGTCGTCATTGTTGCCACTGAAGCACCCCGGATGGATGGCAGTCTTGGGCACTTCGCCATCCACCTTGAAGCTGGTAGTAGGCTTCCCGTCACTGAACAGGACACACCAGAAGTAAGGTCCACCACCATCCGTGCCACTCACAGCTGCCCCAACCTCTGTGTGGTTCTTGCTGTGCAATATTTGAAGGCCCTTCGCATCATTCACCAGGATGTCAAAGGCCTCAGCTGGACTCACGTACTTGGACTGGCAGCCCACAAGCCTACCGGTAATCTTGGAAAGAGTTGTGGCTTGGACGCCACAGGTTGGGGCAAATGTGTCAGTGAAACTTGACTCCATCGGCTTCTTGTCATCCACCTGGTCACATTGACCTTCATATGCTTTGATGTACTGCAGAGCGATGCATCCCAAACCTTGATTATCGGAAACAGTAGAAGCCTTGCTGGCAGTACGGTTGCTGTTGATCAATGTAACCAGCTGATCCGCAGGGTTGTCTGAAAAGAATTAAAGAAGATAATTCAAGCACCATGTTGTACAAAAATTATTACAAATTTCAAGGTTCAAGAGGAAATGAAGATGCAAATGCATCCTAGATAAATGCTGCAATCACAAGAATGTAGAATCAACAAATACAGTAAATATTTAAGCTTAGTTAACACACAGGAGTACTAAAATAAATATAGATTAGGTCTGTGGAAGATTGGCATCCTAGTAATTTAACAGACCTTATGCAGCAGTCTAGCAGATTGTACTACTTTCTACTTGAACAAATAGCTGTGAGCAATACCGAGAACATTCCATGGATAAAAAGAAAGTAACAAAGTAGGCCACTGTCCCACTGAAACTTCATTCCTTAGAAAATCTTAGTTACAAGAATAGTATAAAATTAGTCATGAAAATAGTGCTATTTTTTTCATAAAAAAATGTTGCTAACTAATAGTGTTATTTAAATATTTGGGCAAGGTAGCTACATTACATGGGAGAACTGCCTTACGTGTAAGAGTTAAATGAAGTGCAGCAAAACCATACATTATTTTCAGATTATTGTTAGTCTTTGAAAGGAACCCTAGGTACCCTGCCTTATAACGTGTGAAGCATTGATATTAACAAGGGTAGATAGGAAGCATAAATATTGTAATGGATGATAGCTCAGTAATTTATACATGCTCATGAGGACACTATGAATCCTCAGTAACTCCCAAATCCCTGAGCCCCTTCAGTCGTGAGACAGTTGAAGATACTACTGCAGGCAGCGTATTTCCCCAACCCCTTCTCTGTCATCGTTATTGCCAGTCATCGCCTCCATGTGTGTCCTCAAGTCAGGAGCCACATCGGCGTCTCTTTCCATCTCCCTTGGCCGCTCGTCACTACCAAAATTGCCACCACCCGAGAGGGGTCCATTACCTTCGCATGATGGCTATGGACGACATGTGGCAACCAATCTGACAGCATACAGTATCCAATAGGTCCTCCTCTCAGTTGGCACTGGCAGGGCTGCTTTTCTTGTTCAGTTTGTTTTTATTTATTGCCTTGTTAAATTTCGAGGAGGAAAACAGAACTCAAGAAGAGTACAAAACTATCCTCCAATATAATTTCGTTGAGCCAATACATGATTTTGCATCCTTCCACCTTGACCTGTAATTGCTACCTAATCCACCATTTAGTGGTACCAGGCCACGACTTTAGTATCTTTTTGATAGGTAGCTCTCATCTTTTATCATTTGATTTAAACTAACATTTTAGAGGGATGGTACCTGGGGTTCTCTTTAAGCACCACAACACATCTCTGTTTTTTCAAGAGTCAACATTGATAATATATTGGTGATGTTGCTAAAACCTCCCCCATGGCTAATATCCTATCTCATTGTCATATTACTTAGAGAGATATGTCATAGTACAGATGAACCTTCAGCGTAATATTAAATAATTCATTTCTATTGCACGACAAAAAGACAATTTATTTAAATGCTCCACGTCTGCAACATAAGTAAATAATGTAGATTATGCTATTGCCATCAAAGCAATGAAGCAAAGTTTCCACATTTAGATCTCCCAAACACTAGTCGCACAGATGAGCGGCGAAGTCGCTACCAAGGCTCAGACACACTAAAGTTAATAACCAATCTAGTTACTTCAAGACAGATATAGAAATTGGAGAACTGACCAACCTCTTTATGGAAGTCCTTACAATTTGGCCTACCACGACTAACCAGATACGCAGCTATTCTGAAGCCCCGCGAATTTTAGCAATTGAAGCAGACCATCTCAATAGTTTGCATACAAACACACAGCAGAACCAGAACGGATAATTACACTAAAGTTCCCCCAAGATTGTGCTCGTTCGTTCAGGGAAGTGACTTGTCAATTATCCATGGCTCAGCGCCATCTTTACTGCTAGAACAAGAAAGCATAGCTCAGCGAACACTACCACAACAGTGATCCCCGTTACCGAATTGTTCGATCCCCAATGGCGTAGGACCCGCCGCCTCCCCCGTCAACCCACCGCGCCCGCGAGATCCCAAACCGAGCTACGCATCCAAAACACCCAGATCCGGGCACTAGTCCTAGACAGATTGGATCAATGGAGAGCGTGTGCAAGAACAAACACAAGGAATGCAGCAGGCGACAGCAACCAGGAACGAAAGCGGGGAAAGGTAACTGGAGCAGTACTCTTGCTGTCGGCGGCCGAGGCGGCGGAGAGCAGGAACGCCGGCAGCAGCAGGGCGGCCAGCAGCGGCCGCGCGAACATAGCCATCCGATGATCCTTTGCGCCCCCCAACGCGTGCGGGCAGGGGACAATCCGGGATCTAGCAGGAGCTCGTGCCTGCGCGTCTGTGCGCGCGCGCGAGCTCGGCTTGGAGTGTGGGAGTGGAAGAAGGGTGAGCTGGCTTAGCTGGCGAGCAGGACTGCAGGTCTTGTTCTCTTCTCCCGTTCGATCTGCTGCGAGCTCGCTTTCTTTTATGGCTTTTTTCGTGTGCAACTGCTCCGCTGCTCTCTCGCCGCATGTGTCATGTGTGTCGGCCGTGCCATTGTTCCGTTGGCGTGCACTGACCAAAGTGCCCCTGACGACTATTTTCGGTTAGAAGGCAGCCTTCCATCGGCGAGCAAAAAGGGGAGCGACCGACAAGGTGCCTGATCAGCTCCTCCATTTCTCACTATCGCCCTTGTATAGGAAAAGAGAAAAGCTAAATGTTTTCAATCTTCAAAGCACCTGAATTTCTCAAACGTCCGATCAATGCTTCTAGTTTAAGCTTTAACCGTCTGATTTGCAGAGCAGTTAAAAGCTCCCGTTGTCTTTCCCGACTCTAACGAGGTTAAAGGTTCGAGTCAGAGGTTTCTCTGTGACTGTCACAAGCGTCAGCAAGCTTAAAAAAAAAGGTGTATGTGATTAGATAGCCCGATGAAGACGGTGGGCGGGCGGATACTTTGTCGCCGATGTCGCTACGCGTCCCCCGCCCTATTGCGAATACTTTGCCGCGTTCTCTTTAGCGGATGGTTGCCGCCATGGCTCGGGCGGATGCTTTGCCGCCGTGGTTCGTCTCTTCTCGGTGGATACTTTGCCACCGCGGCTTCACCTCCTGTGCTTGCAGCCTTGAGTTGATTTTTTTTTCCATGCAAGTTCAGTAGGTTAGGTTTGTGGTGGAGGGCCTCTCCTTACCGCCTTCTTTCTGTTATGTTGTCGTTTAGGTTTCTAATCACTTCCTCTGTGGTCCTGTAACCTGCACTATGGGTTCGCTCGTAATTGCGTTGTGTAAGTCGTTCTTCTGGCCCTCCTTCTTAATGAAAATGCATGAAGTCGTGTTTAAAAAAAAAGTAACAGTAGCCACTGGCCATATGAGGTGGAGGAGGTCCATTAGACGAGGCAGAGATTATGACGGAAACAAAACATGGAGCGCTTAGGAATGAGAGTGTGTGGTAGGGAAAGTAAGGAAATGAGGGGTCAGATGGGAATCTAGTGTTGCCTGCCCTCAAAACACAAACACCTTTTCGATAGGTGATAGACTAAAAAATCACTTGTTGTCTATATATAGAGAATTAGAGATGTAGAGCAAGTTAAGTTGTTTTGAGCATTGTGTAATGGAGACTAAATCTCATAAAAGAACGTATAACAATTTGGCATAATCTCAAAGGGCATAGAGAGCCGCCTAAGCAGCCTCATAAAAGAGTTAAGAAATTACTCTTACTCTCTTCGTCCCAAAATAAATAAACATCTCAAATTTTAAGTCAATCAATCTAGAGTATAACCAAATATATAAGATTAGACTAATACAGAACAAACATTATTAGATTAATCATGGCATCTATTAGGTATACAAATGTTGATACTATTTTTTAAGAGTCTAGTTAAATTTAAAATTATTTAACTTCTCGAAACATGATTTGTGCATGTCTTTTGAGACAGGGAGAAAGGGAAGGAAAAAAAAAGGTGTACCACAATGAGTAAACTGGCTAGTTGATCTTAATAATGGTTAAAGTGAAGTTTAGTAAGCAGCATTGACTTAGCTCGTACTATTTAAACTTTTGAACTAAATAAATCTTGAACTGCCTCTACCCACTGTCGGTGTGGTCATTCATAACGATCTATAGTTTGTATTAAATAGATAGTATTTAAGTGCACCTTTTTTGGTAATCATGGCCTCAACAAGCCTTGAGAGATGCCAAGGTCGATGGTGTGATGAATTTTCAAAATCTCAACTTTTAGGTGCAAAAAAAGGAAGTGCGTATTCCCTGACAAGGCACTATTGAACTTATACGCCCCAAAATCGTTTGTTAAGAAAAGTTTGAATCAGTGTCTCACTCTCACCCAAGATCGTTTGTTAATGGTGTTAGCTTTCCTTTGGCCAGTCAGGTCTCTCTCACCACGGCCCTTTAATAGCAGGTAGTACTTACAATTTTCTGAAAAGAATTGTGCTTGGTCCATGTGAGGGATGTTCGGCTGGCGATGCATGGCCGGTGCAAACACTGCAAATTCGTGAGTAATGCAATAATGTACAATAATATAATTTAAGAAAAGGATAAGATTAATGTAAGCACATGCATCATGCATGGAAGGTAGGTACTGTTCTACGTATATTTCACCAGACTTGCAGTGCTAATGGTTTTCCATATGGACGGCGAAATCTGAACTAATAATGTGGTCGTCGGCTGATTTCTCCGCGATGTTTTGACACTGACAGACTAACCAGTGCTAACAACCGCGTGTAATATATAAAGAGAAATGTTATATGTCAACCGCATGTTTTACTATATAAACTATCATAACGGTCTCGTTTCCAGTTTTTAAATATTAGTCCATCAACCCATACTTTTCATCTTGTACAGGCTAGAATCGTAAAAGTCAAAAGACATAAGCATTAGTTGTTAGTTAATACAATAACTAATAAGAAAATACTTGTAGATACTCAGGTTTATATCTAGCTATGATAAATTTATCAATTAACATAGATGGTTAAGAGCTGTTGAAAAGGCTGTCATCCACCGACGCCCAGTTGTGACGTGGCGGCGATTCCTAAAGCTGATGCCTCGCTACGACGCGGCGGTGCCTCCCAAAGCCGTCGATTCTCTTATGTGCTGTTTGGCAGAGCTCCCGATAAATTCAGCAGCTAAATAATTTTCAGAGAAGCGATTCTCTACTGATTTCGTGAAGTGATTATCTCAAATAAACTAAGAGGTTGAGAGCTGGAAAAAGTAGCTCCTACTGATTCTGTAAAGTGATTCTTCGTCCTGGTTTTGAGAATTTATGCTAAAGAATAAAAGAGAATCACTTTTAGCTATAGAATCACTTCTTTCGTAGAATCAACTTTCATACATAATCAGAATTAGATAGAGCTCTACTAAACAAGCCCTTAGAATAGAGCTTCTTTGAATGTGTACGACTCTGTTCGCTTATCTTATAATCCGTACTTTTTAGCTTGTTTTTTCAGTTGGAACCGTGTTTTTCTCTCATAACAAATCAGCCAGAAACAGTGTTTCGCCTTGTTTTTTCAGCGAAGCGAACGGGACCTATGTATCCATCTCAATTCTCTATGTGTTGGACTGAACTAAAATGCAATTTAGTTAAATTCTACTCCCCACTCCAACATACACGGATTGAGATGGATGCATGTGTATTATATTATTTGGATGCACATTATCTATCTCAGTTTATCAGCTTGTTCGCTTGTTAGTTTCAGTCAAGGCTTATCAGTCAGCCAACAGTGTTTTCTTCTCACAACAAACCAATACCAGCCGGGCTTATCAGCTCAGAAACCAACCAGCGAACATGCCGTATGTGTGTTGAAGTAAATTAGAGTGCAATTTAAATTAAATTACACCTCAATTCACTTTAACCTATATATGGATTAAGATAGATAGATATGCATCAAATAAAGCGTTAGATGAATTGAAACTATACCCAACCAAACTCACAGAAGACTAGAAAGCACGGCGCGGCGTTTTGCCGCGCTGGCCGATGGGGTGCCGCCATGAGCCCATTATGGAGGTAGCTGCGTAGAAGCCCACTGCAGTGTAAGCCTTTTATTTTAAGATTTATTTAATTTAAATCAAAACATGGATAGTGTTAGAAAAGGATCCTCTTTTTTTTGGGAACATTGATAGAAAGGGACTCTATACCTGTATAATGTGTCATATATATGCGATACAAAACATACCAAGAAACAAGTTGAATTGATTGTATAAAAATCTATGCTCTAAGCAAGGAACATTTTATATTGGAGAGACACCTGGCTTCAATAGTCACCAAATCAGATACCGTGAGAAGTAGAAGGGTTTGTAATATTCCGAACAAAGCATATCACAAGAGATGATTGTAGGATTAGCGACAATGACATAAAGTAATCATTCAGAGAAACATAAATACTTGAAGAGTGTAACTCAGTAGAAGGATTTGAGTGGCCTAAATATATACCTTTCATAGTTTAGGTTCAACTGAAGTATTATATACTTTTAGATTAGCAAGCTATGGTCATGGAATACCAGTGGCATACTAGCACCATAGAGCCATTGAATGTTATCAGCCTATTGAGGACAAAAAAAAACAGTATTATCTGAATCATCAAATGTTAACCTAACTATCAGAGGTAGCCAAAGCCTAGGAGATTTACAAAAATAAATGGAGCACAGAAGCATAATTAAATTTGATAATCCTGTAACAAATCTGGGGCTTAAGCACGTTGTAAATAATCAATTTAAGCTTTGGAAGAATTACAATAATGTTTGATATATCTCTGGAAATTATAAACAGAAGCAATATTTAAACACATGGATGACCGTTCAAATCAGTTCAAATTGGTTAGGTATACCTATGGCAAAGCAAGAATGACAATATTTATCGAAAAAATTAGTTGTGTAGCATTGAAAGATCACGATCTCCGTAAAATACAATCGAAAGTTTGCGTCCTTATAAAATACCACCAAAAGATTGAACCGTACAGCTTGTTCGCTTGGTCGTATTTGGCTTATAAGTCATGGCTTATCAGCCAACGAACTGTATTTTTCTCTCACACCAAATCAGCCAACAGTACTTTCAGCCATAGCTTATAAGCTAAACCAGCCCAAACGAACAGGGCGGTAAACTAAAAATAGCATTCCGTTAAAATAAAGCGACAGAAGTGACGGAACTGAAAGTAGCCTCCGTCACGCCCTTATGAGTTGTTCTCGTGGATGCTCGCATGAACAGAACGGCTCTGCGGCACCACCACCGGCACCACGTCGCGCGCCGCCATGCTTGCGCGACGTCCCTTGCCCCGGCTCTCG